GGTAAATTAAACTCAGGTCTACTGGCACATAAAATCACTAGCAGCAATGATCAAGGCATGCAAACTCAGAAGCATTTACAGTAAATTATGAATAAAAAAAGTTGTTAAATTAAAACCCTTTGAGTATTGCATTTATGTTAATTAATTATGCATGAATTTGCATTAACTGACTAAAAATGTTTACAACTTACTTGCACTATACTACTGACGTAATTCCATTAAATAACTTAAAATGAGACCCTTTTTTTTTGCCCTCAGCTAGACTTAAACAAGTACAGCTGCACTTAGTGTTTGCTGACTGACTGATATTGCAAGAAACCAGCAGAAAATGTATTGTACTCTCACTTAGTAAGGTGGCATTTCTATCTGTAAGTTCAAAGAATCTCTAACTTGCTACTACACTTGTTCCCTTGTTCTCGTAAGCAGCGTTTGTAAGAACAAAGGGGCTTTTTAAAATGGCAAAAGGCTTGTGCAATTTCTAGGTTGCTTTTAAAATTCTGACATTCAATAAGGGCCATCCAAACTGTACCACTGTAGATGAAGATGAATAAAATACCTTCATCTGGTCATTATTGCAGTGACTGAGTTTTAAAAGGAGTATCAACACTTTTTGTTCTTGTTTACCAAAAATACTGCCAAATATTTCAATGCAAACATACCAAATATTCTGCAAAATTTATTCTTCTTCACTAAGCCTTCTTTTAATCCTAAAGATTCTCTTTTACAGTACACCAGAGTATTCCAATACTAACCTACCTCAGGAGATTTGCAAAATAGTCTGAATATATTTTCTAAGCCTTTATCTTCTAAATGCATCTTAAAGTAGACAACTTTCTATCTGTAGAAACATACGTTTGATTTTCTTTATATATTTATGCAATTATGAAAACAAGGGAGCTGAAGTACTGTTTTCTATTAGACAGTACACATTAATGGCAGTGAATATTTTGTCTACATCTATTGAGCCTCCTATGACAAAACCATTCCTGTATAGTATGCAAGTATTTACTTTCGACATAATTAAAAAAAATTCTATAACACTATCAGCTATTTCAAAGTATATGCTCAATGGACTAATTAAATTATCTAAAAAGCTTGGTTCCCATCATGTTACTTACAATGCTCAAAGGGTTAATGCAAGGCATTATATCAAATTAATTTTCTAATACTAGAACTAAGCACTGTGTGTTTATGCTTCTATTCCAGTTTTTATTGTTTGTTTGTCTTAAATCACCAAACAAATTAGCAGAGATACTAGAATTCCATTTATTGATTTGTTTTAAACCATATACAAAAAGGATGTCCTGTTAGAGAGACAAGGGCCCAATTTTCAGAAATTCATACTGCTCTCTCAGATGTATGTTTTAAACTCTGAAATATTGTTGTATACTTATATTACTAATAAATCTATTTTTTGTCAGCACTTTTATGGCTATCAATGGTTGTTTTTATTTTGTAAAAACATTCTGAATTAAATTGGATTGCAGTGCATCTCTAATATAAATTTTTTTCTAAACAGTGCAGATGTCAATTGGTGAGAATGACAAAGATATCAGATCATTTCTCCTAGGGAAAACAAGGCGAGCAAAAGTAGTGTGTTAGATATTTAAAAATACCTCGCTTTAAATTAAATTTGTATATAGACCTATACATTCCTGAATGACAGAACATTACCTATTTTCTTATTTTTGAACTAAAGGCAGTAATGCTGTAAATCATCATTTTATACGTAAATAATTTAAAATCTATTTTCCAAATTTTTATGGAACTTTTTTTAAAAGAAGGTGCTTAGAGCATGCTACAGTACAAGAGCAAAACACAGAAATAATAATTGAAAACAGAAAAAATAAAAGCTTTAAAACAGATTTACCATGAGAAAGATGAAAATGTACCAACAAATTTTAATAAATATAAAACTTTTGAAAATTGGGCCCTGTGTTTTGAAAAGGTAGTTCAACAATACCCATTCCCCCACACTGTTCACTGTGCTATTTGTGCTAATGGGGGAAACGTCTCTAAAGTAACTATTTTGGATTCCATGTCAAGATTAGATAAAACACATAAACCATGTCAACTCTCATAATGTCTACCGTGTGGATACATGCTACACCTCTCCAGAGAACTAACAATAGACTTCAGAGCTGGTGTGGCAATGCAACCGCATGCTACACATTATAGAATATGGACTGAGGTATTCGTATCTCTGTAGTTTAATGATTCCTAAAACCCAACTATTAAGTAGTAAGAGTGTGCAAAATGTTTTATCTAAGCATTTGATAAAAATTTCAGTAAATGTAAAAATAAACAGAAGACCCCCAAACCTGTAAGTACACAACGCAGCTTACAGTACCGTAGCTGTTCTAAAAAAAATCTGGTAAAATCTTTAGAATTTAAGCATAGGAATACAGACTCCATTCAGTTTTCTGAATGTGGGATAGTTCCAATTTGCTTTGATAATTCATTGTTTTTAGAAGCTATAAAATACATTCTGGTTTTGTATTCAGATTTTTGTTCAGTTTTGTTTTGCACTTTGTGAACAGTGAACAACTGAGTGGAGTGGGGAGCTAATTAATGAAAGATACTCAGGTCCCACCTTTTTTAGCAACCTAGATTTACCTATTACAATCGTACTCTTTTCTCAGCAACGACAAATCCAACATTAAACTAAGAAAGGACAATAATAAGAAAACATTATAGGTCCGTCAACACAAAAATTGAAACAAGTACTACAGTATTAAAAAAAGCTGAAAATGAAAAAAATGTTGAATTATTTCACTTTATTTTACTTGTAAACATCTTATAATGCACAATGAAGGGGAGTAAATATTTATCACAGCTTAGTTTTAGCATTTTTGGTGAAGGGTACAGATGTGCTGATTTCCAAGGAAAAATCAGGACACACTGAGTGATATATGTGAGAACAAAATCTATAATGAGATTCAGTGCATTTATGAGTTTAGAAATAATGAATATAATCCTCACTTTCACTTTTTACTGAGGCAAAAGCCATCTACTGACATTAGTAGGAATTATGCCTACATAGAATGAGCAGGATGGGTTCACCTCCCAATTCTGCAAAGGAATTAAAATTTCATTTTGTACACCAGTAATGTTAGGACATTTTAGTTGATGTACAGCTGTATTTGGAGCATATGTAAACTCTAGCAACAAACCTGTTTGCTATAAATATGGTGTTAATTTTACATGCTCTTCTCCTGTTTGGTATATATGACTTTAAAGTCATTTTCAGACACACTAGATAAACCAAAATAAAAGAATCCCTAATTTTCTTACACAGTCTTTTCTGTAAAGTTGATCTTTTTGTGCTCTCCTTCACTTTTTGGCTTTTTTTCTTATTTGATTCCACTATTTTAGTGTAGCAAATTCATGTGTTTGCATAATGAAATGTTTAAGAAGAAAAATTTGAGTTGTTTAATGTCAATTAGTATGGTCTCTATAAACTGTCATTTAACCATTAAAATGTAATATCTGGCTGATACCCCACAAAATATAGAAATTGAAAACATGCACTGCATTATGTACCTGCTCATTTATTTCTTTTTAGTTTTTAAAATTAAAAGTAGGCAAGGGTTTAGAAAATATATAATCATGCTTGGGACTACGGTCAATCTATTTTGACATTTGAAGTTGGTATTAAAGCTAGTTTTGCTTTCCAAATTCCCAAGCAAATTTTATTTGTAATAAAGTGAAATCCAGCTAGAAACGAGAAAAAATAGGTTTATTGTCATTCTAAGAGGGATATTAAAATCACTTAATAATAAAAAAATCCTTTTATTCTTTTGAAGGCTATGTAACCTGTCCTTACTTCTTAGGGAATTTGACAACGACAGGCACACCTTGTTGAATTAATTTAAGAGTTAAGAATAACAAAAAGTACTAAGTCTTAGCTTCAGTTCTGTTTAAGGCACCATGTAATAGCCGAGGTACAATGATCCCTGATGTACATTCTTAAATGGCAATGGTCCATCTAGCCACCTATTCAAATTCTACACAATTGGGAATAAGTACAAGTGAGGTGTGCCAGTTACACTGCCTTATCTAATTTTTGTAAAAATTTAAATCCACTTTAACAACAAGGAAATATTTTTGAAAGGAAAATGATGCAGGTTGCTACATTCCTTGCATTCTATAAATCATCTTTTCTAAGAGCAGCAGATTGAACCACTAGTAGGAAAAGACCTGGAATAGAAGAAAGTCATCCAAATGGAATGTTTTCCTGTATGTCCAGTTCAGCATAAGTAGCACGTACACATAAAAGTAATAATAATAATAATCAAGTCACTTCTTTTTTAGCTTCAGTTTCTAACAACTATAGTACCACTTAACAGCCAAAAGCACCTGTTCAGTGGCCCCACATATAGAATCAGTAGTCTTCAAAACAGAGGAACTAGTATGCAAATAATATCTGGAACTGTTGATTTTAAAGGAAGCTTGCATTGTTTACATGATGGTCAGACAATTAGGTACGTTTGTGACGTACACATTACCACATTCTGTTACAATTCTGTCATTTAAACTCGCTTCTTGCTCATAGAAAGAAACTAGGAGATCTTCCCAACCCTCCAGCATTATTACAAAAATTCCCCCTGAATGTTCACAATTTTATCAAAATAGTGTCTTCTCGTTGTCCAATGAAAAGCACCTTTTATAACAAATTTGATACATCTGCTGTCAAATAAGTACGCCTCCAGTGTAAATCAAAGAAAATAGTTCTTTTGATATTTCACAGAAGTGCATCTAATTAAAAACCTACCTATATGAAATTATCATTATAACTAATAATTAACATTAAAATATTTTTAAAAAACTATGAAAAAATTTAAATTATTATAAGAGGACAAAAACATTAACATTAAGCTTTGCAAAAATCTTCCTTGCATTTGATACTAAGAAAACTCTTCATATTGAGCGGCCAATGTAAAATGATTCTGTTTACAAAAAAATCTCTTTTTTTTTTAAAACGATCTGGCAAAATACATACCGAACGGGCTAGTGTAATGGGGTGTGTGTCGGGTGCGGGGGAGGAGGTTTCATATTAGACTGCAGTATATGTATTTCCAGTAGCACTGCATTGTCTGATAGTCTGAGTAGTTGCAACAATGTGCTCGTTATGAATTGGGCTCAGGAGGTTCTGCTGTACTCCACTCTCAAGCACTGGCTGCATGCAGCCCACCTGGAACGCCTGGTTCAGCTCTGTTTTCTCCCTCTTGGCTTGTGGCTCTCCATTTTCATCCCGCTCTTCATCTATTTCACTTTCAACTTCGCTGCCCTCATCTGTACAAACAAATCACCATGAAACTAGCACAAAGGGAAAAAATTCTAATACGAGGGCCTTTATTTTGCAAATAATAGTTGAAATACAAAAATACTGGAAAGACTAGCAATCTGATAAAGCACAAACTGAAAATTTAAAGATTTAATGGAAAAAGTCAATTATTTTATCAAACTGATAAACAGACTCTCAGCTTTGATCACTTGAGTTACACACTGTTGATAAAGTATGTGGAAAAAACAATTGCAATATCAAAACTAAACTCTAACAAACAATGTTAACTTCATATTGCAAAATGCCTCTCATCTTTAAGACATGATGAACCTAACAGTTGTTACTCTTAGTTACAGAGAGGAAAACCGAGGTGAAGAGATTTGGGGTGACTTGACCCCAAATTTTGACATACATTCTTATATACACTGGTTGAGTGATCTGGGGTCAAGTCACCCCAAATCACCCAACTAGTCAGCGTAAGAATGTATGTCAAAATATGACATGAATAGGTTATAAGGAACTCATTTCTTTCTGTCCTCTTCACTGACAAGTTATCTGACAACTACCTGCATGCAATTCTTCCTTCTTCACCTAGCAAAACATTTACTACAGATAAACATACATAAGCATACTCCTGTCTTTCCTCCCACAGGTGTTACCCTCCTCTGTCCTATCACATACAACTAAATTCTACGTAAAAATTGGAATATTTCTTGTGTCAATAATAAACACCTTCAAAATATATTCTTATTTTAAAACAAACCCACAATATTCTAGTACTTATTATATGCTGCTTATTACATAGATAGCTTATTGTATCCATATATTAACGTATCTGTATAACATATACATGCAGTTTAAAGCATGATATGGCTCTAAATTTTGTTTTACTGTATTTTTAAAACATAAGGACTTGTTTTCCTCAAAGAGATACATTAGCTCTATATAGAATTATAGAGATTAAATACTGAAGAGATTAAATTGCTTACCTTTGTCCATATTTCCAGGGGACACAGCATTTAAATCACCAAACTGCAAAATAAACAATAAAAAAAACTGGACACAGTCTTAAGCAAATATGAACTTAGAGTATCTGTGATGGGGCAGATCTGTGCTCGACTGGTTTGATGCTAGCATTCAAATGCATGTTCTTGGCTGCAGCCACATCCATAGTACAGCAATTCATTTTTCATTCCATCCTAGTCTTGTGCTTATTAAGACAATTATCACCAAGTAAACCCTCAAAAAAATAAAATGGGGAAGTAGAAACTTCTTTAAGATTACTTCATCAGGGCCTTTGTTGCTTGAAGTGAGCTATTTCTGTGTTGTACGAAGCCATAAATTATGATGGATATCCATTCTGAACTGCCAATATTTTAACAAAAAGCTCTTATTAAAATTTCCCAGAGACAACTTTAATTGTGCTGGAACAAAAATGAAGGTGTGTCACAGTGTTGCAAATCTACCTGTAAGGTAGATAAAAGGCACTGCTGAGAAAGGGTTTACAATCTGGTAACGATTTACTTACATCAAAAAAGTTGCTCACAAGTTAGATGTACAACCTTCCTCCCTGAATCCTCTTAAGTTCCTCTTAAATAAGAATCAGCAGAGCAAAATGCCATCAATGAATCTCAAATGAGAGGAGTACATTATTTAGATAAATACATTTCTAACCATAAATGATGATACCAGTCTTTTTCAGAAGAATTTTGCCAATACCTGTGTCCAAAGCTGGGAGAAGAGGAAGGGAGAAAAATGAGAATGCTTTTCTCAGCTGCAACACCAGTTCATACTGTCTTACGGTGTTTGTCAGACCATAGTCTGAGACTTCCTCATTTTATTTCAGTCACAGTCATTGAATACACAGAAACATAAAAAGACATGCATTTATTGAGTATTTACTACTTCTATTCTGCCCAAAAGTTTTGGGTTACTTATTTCCTCATAATATCTCCATCTTCAGTTTACACGAACATTTTAAAAGACCCTACACTACATTTATGTATAACATATACAATGTCTGTTAAGAAGACAAGGATGTAGTAACTGTATACTTGTGTAGTACCTTGCTGCAAATATAAGGCAGAGATTAAGCAAATGTGCTATTGGTGGGTCACTAAGCAGGAACATTGTTGTTTAGTTTTTCTGAAACATGTCATTCATGATAGAAAATCATTTGACAAATAAAGCTGGGACATTTCCAATTTCTCTTGAAAGTATAACATCTATTTATAGTATTTAATGAGCCTATTGATATATCTTGAGGGAAGAATGATACCTGATGCCAAATCAACTCACAAAATGACTTGCAATTTATTGGTAACACAGAATATGATACAGTGACTCCCAAGTGTAAAAATGTAACAAATTTGTCCCATTACTATCTAGCATATTTTCAAATATATCCATTTTCTAGCACTTTTGAAGTGTAATTCTTTGATGACAATTCATGCATTCCTCACTGTCTCACTCAAAACAAAAGGTTAGATGAACTACTGGGAAAAACAGGGATGAGATAAACTTTGCCTTGCTTTTTATGCTTTTTCTACTTTGTATACTCATAGATGAGTATAAAAAACTGGTTATGAATTGAGACTCTTGTTCTGTTTTTTAAACCAATAATCTTTGAAGCACATGTATGAAAATCAACTGTGTTGCAAACCTCTGTGTATGTCTGCACTGGTTTTATTGCATGTATGTGAACAGTACAGTACGTACTTCTGCATGTAAGCCATCCTTCTCAAGTCAATGGGGGTACTCAGCTCCCTTGTGTTAACATTTGTATGGGAATTCAAAACGTGTGCAAATACATGTAAACAGATCCATGTAAGCAACATTTTCCTATTACTCTGCTCTTTTTTTATTTTCACATAAAATATTCAGTTCTTAAAAATTGGAAGAAGGTTGTATGTTGATCATAGCAATGCAGATTTGTAAAGGAGCAAGCTCATTTGGAAATAATTGGTTGTTAGAATTCAATGTGATTTTATTACTCTGACAATCAACCAATGAAACAAGTTTGAAACTGTTGTATGTATTTGTAACTCGATCTATTGTTATATTGTAGGCCATCCTACAGCTCCACACACGTTTAAAAAGTTTGCAAAGACACATACCCAAATTCATCACTTACGTATTATCTTACCTCTCCCATAACTGCAATAGGTGTCTCTCCTGTTGCCTGAGCAACACGATGTTCTACTAAGTAAAACATGTATTCATCGTAAAGCAAGCGGATCAGATGAAAAGAGCCAAAGCTAGCAGCACTGCGCAAGGTTAAATCTCGAATCACCATTGAGCTATTCAAAAATAGAAAAATACATATATTTATGTATTATATATCATAGTCATTTTAACACTTATCCATGTAGACATTTCACCTCAAAACCAATATTCTCAAAAGTAACGTTATCCACAAATGTCTGATATATGGTGTCTTCAGAAAGAGATGTCCAGGAAAGGCAATTATTTGCTTCTCTCCTTTCTCCGAAGGTATTACTGGACACAACATTATATGAGAAATAACCAGATTGTTTTGTTTTCAGTTTTTCTTTGTTTTGATATATACATAACTACCAATACTTCAGAATGTGTAAAACCTAACTTGAAAGAAAACTTTGCTGAAAACATAAACAACTAAAATGGTACGAAAACTATTTGATTTTAAACAAACTAATGCTTAAATAGTGTCTGCTGTGTCCACCTTCCCAGTACAAAGGTTTTAATTGCCACAATTTTAAAACTTTGAAACTTAAAATTATAAAATTATGTGTGTACGTATTAGACTGACAAATTCTGATATCTTTAGCAAGTAGTTGCTACAGTCATTTTCAAAGAACGAGGTTTACTCTGATAACTGTTTCAATAAGCAGCTAACATGGAATGCTTGTCTTAATGTTCTTTTTACACATTAAAAACAGCTTTTGTCTTCCTTATCTAATAAACATAGATACCACAGTGTTTTAATAAATAATATTAAAAATAGTGGCTTAATAATTGTGTAGTTATTCAACCCAAAAATTTCCTATTATGTTTCTAACTCAGGAACAGAATTCCACCTGCATTCATTTGCCCATGGCCTTTAAATAAACAAGGATCACTTGAGCCCCTGCTGATTTGCAAGTGGCCCTGAGTTCAAGGTTAACAACAGTAATTTTCTGGGAAAAACCCCACATGTTTTTCATGACTTAGTGAGCCACTGTTTGATATTACGTCTGTCAACTTTACTACAGTGAACAATACAGCAAATAATAGAATAGTTAGAATGTCTTAGAAGTCTATTAAATACTACCTGTAGAAAGACCATTTTAACAGAAATTGCCGTGCTGCTTTAGGAAAGCTGGGTCTTCCTTCGTATGGTTTCAATGCTTGCATCATTACATTATCAAGCCAGGCAGCCCACTGCTCCAGAGTGCTCTGCTGTTGAAGAGTCATCTTGAAATCTGTTTCTAGTCTCTGAACCATGTTGTCATCACACTGGCACACCCAGGAAGCCTGCTCCTGTTACAGTACATGGCAACTCTTGAATTAACAATACATAAGCCAAAGCACAGAACGCAATTCTTTCTCAAAGATTAAGCAATTCAATGGTTGAAAAGGACAAAACCCACTTACTACACAAACTAAGAAGCAGTTTTTATTTTTGTGTCTATAATAATTGTGTTGAAAGCAAGTGGGTGGGGAAAGCGTAATATATAAGAGCAGGCATCAAATAAAGAAATGAGAACAAACAATGGAAATGACACAAGTATGTTGTAGTTTTCCACATTCATTTTCAAAAAAGGCTTCTACTTTTCTCATTCATCATTTTTCTACTGCAATATTCGGGACTTGTCTATTTTTTCTAGGACTACAGGCAGGGGAAGCAGGAAGAACAGTTAAATGGGAGGATAAAGTAACAAAAGAAGTAGCAAGAAATCAAGTGCAAGGTTCCTTTCGTTCTGAAGAAGTTAAGCTTAACGACAATTTCTGTTATATCATCTTGTAAAAGAAAGCTTTATATGTAAACAAGGATTGTTTTGTTTGCTGACTATAGGCAGTAATAGATCACACATTACTTAAAGTACAACATGAACCATGCAAATGGAGAAACACAGTCTGCATACAATAATAAGCAGTTTTGTCAGTGTTATCAAGTTTAAATAAGGCTAGCTGGTCAATTCAGAAACTAAGAAACAAAAATGAAGACTCACTAACTGCGAGCCATGTTCTTAAACTCTAGCTATCATGTGCCCAGTTAACACCTCATTCACAGACTCTGTATCCATGTTAACATATTACAGTACTTAATATACTGTATCTTTATTCAAGTACTCTTGACTGACTTTTGTTAAGATTATTAACAAGTACCTTAAAACACTCGTTCACAAGGAAAAGAGACTAACATAGAACTACCAGTACATTTCACTTTGCTGGGCAAAAGGAAAAAAATACTTTTCCTCAGGGAAGCAGAAACGTGGAGAAATTAAGCTTAGGGAAAATATAAACTTACATGCTATAGCTAACTGGAAACTAGTTCTAATCTGTACTAACAGAATTAAGTACTCAGGAGGTCTTGTAAATTTAAGCATAGGCACTTAGATGAAGTATACTAATGGTATTGTATTTAAAATAATGAAACAGTCTCTACTAAAAACAATGTTGTGCATTTAATAGCTTTTAGAGACATTCAGAAGCTACGCTACTATCTCAGATCTAATTCTAAGAGATCAGTTATGCTATTACTAAGATATCATTCATGGTACTCATTCTAAGAATGTATTTGGTCTACATTTGCATAGAAGTGGGAAGAATATGTGCATTTCAAGACAGTAAATAAAAACAGATAATGGTTCTGAGCTCTTACTTTCCTAAAGTGTAAGCTGTCATGTTTGGACTGAATCACTGCATGTAAGAATCAGCAAAATGTTCTCACTTCACTTTCTTGATAGAATAATGACAGCTAACAATAAAGTTCAAAATCATAGAGGAAAAAACACTTTTTTTAAAAAAAAAAAAGCCTGTTATTTAAAGATACATTTTACCTGAACATTGGCAAAATCAACACGGTTAAGATCATTGAGCATCTGGTTGATTTGAGAAGTGTTTTGAAGCACAGCACGAGCTGCTTGAGCCAGGTGATTAAGAGATGTGTATCTTCGCAGAGTCTGGGCAAAGGCACTTACAGCGGCAACCTATGAAGAAATTAATTTCTTTTTAAATATTCTACTTTTTATCTGTAGATTAAGTCTACAGATTGAGTCTTTACCTTCATTTTAATATTTTATATTAATGACTCCTCATATGTGAATTGTGTCTGTTTAGCAGATCAGATAATGTCTTCTTTATAATTTTTCGACAAAACTAAGTTATTTCCGCTCCCATTATTTGATGCTTGATGCTAAACATGAAATTTAGCATTAAAGTTAAAACGCTACTGCTTTTAGATGCTACTGCCCACTTGGTTTGCCATTGCAAGAATAATACTGCAACAGTTTTGTCTACCTTGGTTTGTATCATCCTCTGTGGAATATTGTTCATGGCATTTGAAAGCCAACCTTCAAGGCTTTTTGCAAAATTGCGAATGGCTTGGGTCAAGGCACCTGTGCATTAAAGAATAAAAACAGAATGAAAAGAAAGCAATGTACCTGTCTTGAAATGTTTTGCATCCTCAGTACTTATGTACTCAACGTTTTGGTCTGCTGCTTTTACTTACTAAAAGACAAATCCAGTTGAGGTTCAAAATGCCTCATTCAGATATAGATTATGCAATAATGATTTTAGTTTTGGTTCAATAAACAGTTCTGACTTCTTCACCTAACAATCTTTCAAGACATTTGTGACGAGCAGTATCGTTTTGGGCACTCCTATAGAAGACATCAGTAATTGCAGCAGTTGTGATGGAAATTTCCATCACAAACTTTCAGCTTTCCATTTCATCTAAGCACCCCTTTTAAAGAGAAAAACTCTGGAAAAAATTCCAGTTATTGGAATACTGCAGTTTCCTCAAACAAGCCCAAAGTAATCTTAAGCCATGTCATGGTGCTGCTTACTTCAGTTTTAAAGAACAAAATCCAACATGCAGTGCTTAAGGATATCATCAATAAGCAAGATATAGGAGTGTGTTTCACTGATAGAAAGTGAGAGTATTCCAATGGCTGTGGAATCCGTGTGCATTTTTGTTTCTTTACTATAGCACCCACAGAACTGCTGAGTGGCTGACAGAGATTTAGAGAAACTGAAGAAGCTCTTACAGCAATCTGCACTACTCAAAATCTAAGTTTTAATTTTTCAAAGGAGGAAGACAGGAAGTATTTTCCTAAGGAACTGCGTCTGGAAAAAAGAAAATCATATCTCCTCAGTAGTAGAAGCCTCACTTCCCATAACTACCACTTGCTCATTGACATAATAGCATCCACTCAAACGGCTGCAAAAAGGAGAAGACAAAAAGAAAAAACTACAGGTTTCTAAAGACTAGTAGAGAATGAAGGCAACTACAAAAGTGAAAAGGAAAAAACTAGAAAAAGGAAATAATATTTATTTTCCAACTATTTTAGCTACACATGAGAAGAAACCATCCAAGTGAAGATTGGCTGGATTCTGTTTATAAGGCTGAATACTCTGGTAGAGTAAGAAATTAATGCTGATAGAACTTGTCTTTAAGAAATGCTCCTTTACCGTTTGAATTATTTATGATCCCTCTTTTAAGAAAGCTTTCTACTAGCAAAGTAAATTTACTAAAAGAAAAAATGTATTCTTCATGACATCTTTTTCACATGTCTTCAAATTTGCAGTGATAAGCAGTAGAATCCATATCAGTAATTTATATAACTGACCACATATTTGGATGCTTAGCTGAACACAATTTGATCTTACAAAGTATCTGTATTAGCTAAACACTCTATGGTAACAGGTTTTTTTTCCCCTTGAGGTTTCCACATGAAGAACAAGCTTTTTTCTTGAGTCCTGTCAATCACCTAGCTCACTTGTGCTGCTTTGTAAATTATTTCTGTGCACTTACTAATTAACTATGTATTCACTCACATTTTCTTACCTGTAGAACAAGAAAATGCAAAGTGGAAGGAATAATGTAAATACTGTATGAATGATACCTAGACATTTAAGGAAAATATTACTGCGTTTTCACTTCTAATTCCCTTATTACTCTTTTTCACCCAACTATATGTTACAAAATTATTTGCATCACTGTAATGCTGATGTCCTTTAAAAATAAATATGGAAAAGTAGCTCAGGCCTTAAGAAAGGCCTCTAACTAGGAAGAAAGAGGAGCAAATGAAAGGAATTCTAATTCTGAAGAAATAAAACAGCTAATGTAGATAATCAGGCATCAGTATTGTATAGAACAACCATGAATTTCTAAGGTGCTTTGGAGCTCATTAAACACAGATTTTTTTTCTCATATTGCATTCTTAAGTATACATCTAGCCATTACCAAAACCTTAAGTACGTACATCCTCAAAGACTTCTTTTAAGTTCATCTGACTATCCTAGAAAAACAAGAAAACCCTTTCAAAGAATCACACGATGAGTATGGTGCAAAGTAAATGGCCTGCGATAGTTAAATGTTACTGGACACACACTAAATGATGTTGCAGTGGCAGTTACTGATAGAAAGTTTCATTTGGATAAGCACCTAAAAAGCTTGAGTTCTCAGCTGAAAACCCTCTGACATGCAAATTTCATAAAAAGAAGGCTTTACAGTCTTTTCAGTACTTTAAATTTTTGTCTGCCTGGAACTGTGTGATACGGTGTGGAAATATGCTTACCATAAATTCTCCACCTATGATATAAACTAACTCAGAGGCAAGTTTGTTACTGTCCATTCTGTCAGTTGCGAAGGTGAAAAAAGTCCATTCTAAAACAGAATAGCTCTGGTCTATTGCCAAAGACATTAGATAATTATGGTCTTTATTCCTAACTCAGATGGACAGCATTTCACTTTTCTTAGGAAAAGGAATTTTGCTGTTTTATACACAGCAATTCTTCATTCATTCTGTGTGTGCTAAACATTTCAGCTGACAAATTTAACATAGAGGTTAAAAATAAAACATATTTTTCCTCAGTGATCATTTTTTTTGCTACTCCAGTAATATGTATCCCACAGCTGAGTAGCACAGTAAGACTTTTAGAAAAGAAACACACTGAAAATCTAGACATGAAAAAAAAAGAACCTTAAAAAAATCATATGCTTACTTCAAGCACTTTCCAAATTAATATTTTTTCCTATTTTGAGCAGCTGCTGTCGATGTTTTTCCATTCATTCAGGAAAAAAAAAAATCATAAACGTGCCTTTGATGAAGCATTTACAGTCCCCTTTCCTCTGCAGAATCCAAACTTTCCTATAAACTGCTGTCTTCCCACAGAAAATGATGAATTTGTCTACTTCACCCAGGTCCATTATTGTCATAGTCAACCATTAAGCACAAACTTAGGCCTTCCTCTTGGTCTCTTGTAATGGCTGGAGATATTTTAATTCAGAAGCAGGAGTTAGAAAAATAATAATATTGTAAATATATAACAGGGAAGAAAGAACTTGTATGGACCATCATTACAGGAAAGCTGACTAGAAAAAGCCATTTAGTTAGCTGGTCCTAAAGATAAAAAATAAGAAAATACATTAGCCGCCTTCCAAAGGTAGCTCAGTGGGTGGACTTCTGAGCAGAAAACCACTGGACTGTTCATGAAATAGAGGCAGAAGTCTCTTGGGATGAATTTGTCCTGGGGATCAGATGATGTGTTTGCATCAAGAAGTCTGATAATCATCCCCAAAACAGGAATGTCAAACATAGTAGGTATCAATTATTCAAATATGACTGGTAATTCTGGAAGCAAAGACCTAGCATGAAAAGGACCTGATGCCTGTAGTTATTGCTATTAAATGACTGTGTCCCATTTTCTTGAAACCCTGTACTGGCAATGCCCAATGCATCTTATGAATTGGGCAGGAAGAAACCACAAGCTAAGGAGCTATCATATAAAAACTTTTTTAGAGACTGCCAGGCTGTGCAGGAGAAGCAAGTGAAAAGCAAGGCAAAAAGCAGGTTTGATTAAAAAGATGTCTGCACCACCTTTTTATTCAGAAAATAATGTGCTTTTGGAAGACAGAGTTTTAAGTCAACCTATTAAATGTTGTAATTAAATTTCTGGTTTTTTTTATCATTGCCTATTCACTTGTGATAGAATATATTACTCAAAAATTAATATCTTACATACTTGCATTGTCATTAGATAGAAAAGTAAAACATCAAATATAAACAAATGCAAAATAATTTATATACAAGTAAGTTGACAGTAATTGCATGTATTTGAGAAAACATTTTTCCTTTATTCTGCTACATAGACGGAAAGATAAATTATGTCAATCTCTACACCAAGAACATACTCTTTCCTTAAAAACAAGATAAAACTGACTTTCTAAATGGCCAACCTTCAGATTTTATACATTTCCAGCTTCAAAATTTTTTTTGTATCATACATAATTTACTAAGACCTGATTTTATTTCACTGACAAGCAAAAAGTCAATAAAACTTTTCTGCAAGGAAGTACTTGCAAATATTCTCATGGAGTGCTTATTACTGCTGGAGTCACTATAGCAGAAGAGGTGTTCACAGCATGACAAAATAGCTTTGTTAGCTGCAAAGCTACCTAAGGTCCTAATTTTTAAAAAAATATTAATCCAACTTTATAAAGTGACTGTTTTCATGGAAAGGATATAATATGTAGGAGTTATGAGGTTTATAGTGGGTTGCTAACATGATTTCTATATAATATTTAGCACAGCATGCGCAAGACAGTAAATGCTTTATAAAGGAGTTCAACTTTCTTCACATAAATTCATTTTCTACCAAACATAGCCATAAAAATACACTGCTGGAGCAACAATGGATTCTGTGAAAATTAACTTTGAAAAGAAAGCTGTAATCCTGGTAATGGTTGAATGGCCAGACAGTTACTGACTCTTTCATGCAGGATGTATGACAGAAAGAACAGTACACTGGAATAATAAATTGGACTAAAAATTTCTGAGTTAATTTTTCATTGCCTTAACTGTCATTAAAACTGATTTCAGCAGCCACTGTTAAGGAACAAATACTAATTGTCCAAAAATGGAATCACAAAGATCATATACATTTTTTTTCAGACTAATCAAAGATTAATATGTAATGTTTAAACTAAAAACTACTGAATTTAGTGGAAAGACTAACTGACACTTGTGCACACTGGCTCAGGGCCATAGGACTTATGTCTAAGTCTATCAGGTAGTCTAGATGCAGGGTAAAAGGAAAACATTTTTAGCTGAAAATATAACACACAGAGAAGGGTGTACCTTTAATAGGAAACTACATCTTGAAAACTAGATCTTCCAACCACACTAAAATCCTCAGTTACTTTTAAAATACAAAGCATACATCAACTCTCAGCACAACTTCCAACACAACAAAATTAAGGATAAATGATAAACAATACTTTCCTAACTTTCAAACTTATTCCTAAACCTGCCTTGTGAGGCACAAGACCACCACCACCATACACATGCATGGACAAAAATCCTTACAAAATGTTTCAGGTGTTTAACTTACTAGGAATAGGTCTAAGGACATCAGGAATGAGGATCTCCACCAAAGCCTGGTACATCACATGGTCACAGTTACACATCCATTTCAGAATAGACTCATTCTTGCACAGAGTAATCAGCTTTGCCTTTGGAAGTCGACTTTCTATTTCACTCAGATTGCTGGTGTGAAGAAAATGTAGCAAACCAATAAATGACAATGCATTTACAGCAGGTAAAAGCCTGCAATGGGTGTTAAAATGTATTATTTTATAAAGATGTCATAGATGTGTCAACTACACCCAACAGAGCTTCTTTACATGTTGCGTCACATGGAAATGGATTTAAAGAATGCCTCCACAGCTCTGCTGTAGCTCATAAATTATGCAGAAGTATGAATGATCCTTTTGGCTTAAAAGAACTGGATAGAATACTGGGAAAAGACACTTTTACTGTAGTTGTCCAAGTAAGGAAAAAAATGGATGACACAATCATTTCAAGACTGCACTTTGGCATGCACCCAGCCTATACAAAAATGCCAGACAACATCAATTTAATTTGAAAAATTAGCATATGAAAAAAAATTATTAGTCTGCAGGTAAAACCAATAGGATATTTTTTATTTGACACTTGTATAATATTATCATGAGAAGCAGTAAACGAATAGAAACATTTACTGGCCTTGGTTCAGTAATAGTAGTGCCATCAGGTGGAGCAGAGGGAGAATAGCGCCAGAAAGTTTGCCACAATTTTTCTATCAGGCTGAATTGAAGATTCACAACCACATCCAGTATTGCCTGAGAAAATAAAAAACAAGTACAGGCTCTCTTCTACTCAGCTTCCCCCACTCCTAACTCCAACTAGATCTATAGCTTTTTTTCCTTCATCACATAGTGGAGCTAAGGCAAACTGTACATTTCTTAAGTTATAAATAACATCTGTTTTAATAGTTTGATACCCATAAATTATCCAGCACTATAAACTGGTGTGCAGAGACATGAGTAAGGCCAAGTGCACATGCACGGAAGCCTCCAGGAATTAGCATGGCCCATGGAAACGTATCAGACGTATTCACCCCAAGAAAATGTTTAATGCTACTGTAAAAACAAAGGAAACCTGCCATTTTATTCATTTTCATAATTCAGTATAGCTTTAAAAGCATCTTCAAAAATAATTTTAAAAGACATATTGTTCAATATCAAATGTGGCTTAAATGTCTCAATGTTTCTTTAAAATGAGAAAAAAGTTACTGCTTTTAGGGTAAAAAAAAAAAAGAAATTATAATTTAACCTGATTTACATTTCCTATTGACTAAACCAAAGATCTGCATGTACAATCTGAAGTCTAGTTTCTCTAACATTCTGAAAACGTACACATAACTACATTTCATTCTCAGTGTCTATCATATATTACTTTTTTCCCCTGTAAAGGGGACCCTCCAGAAAATCTTTTTACTCATGTTCTTTCCAATGAAATAAGCAAAACACCCTGGGGAAAAGTCACATACCACTAACATGGCTGCAATATATTTGGCATTACTGTCTTGTACTGACCTTCACTAGAAGTCATGAACTTTAAAAAATAAATGGTTTGTAGGAAATACCTCACAGTGCTCTCGATAAAGACTCTGCAGTGATTTGATGTCCTCAAAGGTAGTACCATCTGGTAGAGAAGATATTTCAACTTCTCCAAACTCTGGAAGTACTCGAGATGCATCTGTTTCCATGACAACATAATGAAAGAGGGCTATTGTGAACAGTGCCAGTTACAGTACGATTAAGAAAAAAATTAAGGATGATACAAAGAAATAAATTCCAAAAGGTCATAATGTTCAAAGAGAAAAGTCTTTCATACCTGTTATATGTTAAAATTGTAAACAAATTCAGCCAGCATTTTTTAATCAAAAAGAAATATAAAATTGTTCTTGAAGACATTAAAAAGATGTCATGTACCTATTACACCTATATAAAAAAAGCTAACACACACGTTTTCAGAATATTACAGGCTGAAGGAAAATATCTGTGTCACTGTGTGAAAGATTAATCCCTGAATAGTTTTTTTTTTGTTCAACTGAATAGTTTCTATGTAGCCAGGTATGATGGGGCTAGTAGACTCAATATACATTTTTATTTGAAATGTACCAGACTTGCAAGTAGAGCCAATGTGTGCTTTTACTATTTTTCACAAATGTTTCCAAGAGACAAGTTGATATAAGAGAAAAATGCTAGACTGAAAGGTACCTGGAAAGGAAGATTCAAAACACTTTAATGCAACCCTCATGTTCCCAATGATTTCAATAACAGCAAAATTAGGCCAAAGGATTTGGGACTTGAAAATCCCAACCAAGTAAGCCTACACCTTCTGCAATAACACAGCCAAAGTGTCTTTCTACATAAACAAACAACTAAATTACCATTTGCTTCCATTACTGAGAATACATGCTTAGCTGGATCAATGAATCCACAACTTGGACATTTTTAAACATGAACTTTGGGGTTCTAGTTGAAACTATTTGGCTCTTTCCACTTATAACACTACAGCACACTTTCAAAACAGCCCACTGGATGGTTAACCTGCAACAGTAATAAAACACCACTGCCCCCCCCTTTATGAAATAAAATGCACTGTAATGCACATGCAGGGAACAATAACCGCAGGAATTTCCACATGCATGTCTAATATAACTTTGCACAGCAACTGCATTGTGATTTATATAATATTAAATATATCACGCAAATACTGAATTTGCATATTTTTTCCTTTTATACTTACATGATGCCTATTAAATATTACATAAAACTCAGAGTACAGAACATATAATTCAAGTGCCTTTCTGTTCTGTTGTGAGTAAGAATTTTAAAGAAGGCATGACAACAAGTTCCTCTTACTTATTTATACAGCAGTATAAAACCTGCTTTCATACCTAAAAACTGTTGATGGTGTTGACTTTGGGCAATTACAGTTTGTTCAACAGATGTGCCTGTCTGTTGACCACTTCCTGTGAAGCCATCTGCAACTCCATCCACTTTCTGCATAGGCTTATACCTACAAAAATATCAAGTACAAAATTATCCTTTCTGTTCACTTCTTCATGAATAAGATCATACAATCTACATTCACTCTGATTTCTCCATCTCAAAATAAAATTCTGAGGAAAAGTAACAAAAGAACTTAGACATTTTTATGTGTTTTGCAAATAACAGAAGAAACAATTACTAAGGGAAGCTAGAGCATTAACAATGCATTACAGAACTCATGATATTACAGCATCACTACCAATTTCTTGTGGAATTTAGCTTAGGAACAGCATACCGTAAGACCAGCTAATTTACACCAAAAGGAATCAAATCTTTCCCTTTCCAAATAGCTTGACTTCCCAATAATTATGTAATGCAAAAATAATGTTTCATTACTTTAAGAAAAAACAACACTACTGTCTGAGGTTAGCGAAAGACTTTTCAAATCCAACAAACTTCTCTCATAAGCATAGAATGCCTGAGAAAGCTACTTGGAAATCTAAACTCTTCATCAGTCAATCCTCAGAATCTTTTATAAAGAACAAAAATCACAATGATACAAATAGGAATGCTGGTTTGGATGGTCAAGTGTTGTCTCAATAATCAGTCTGACAGGCTAAAGACCATGCCCGTCATTTCCAACACAACTGAGAATCTGATCTGTCCCAGGTCTTAATGGTAACATCTTGGACACTTTGCACTTTTGAAAAAGAATTGTAGCTACTGGGAAAGAAAATAAGAGAAGTCCCAAAGCTAAATAAAGTGTGTTTTAACGATCACTCGAATTGGAATTATTGTGCAGACTGTAGAACTCCATACTAACTTCAGAAATGTGACATGACATCCCACTCTCAATGCATTGCTTTGAGAAACAGCTTAATCAGTTGGGAACATTTCATTTTGTTTCCAGTAAACATAAACCAGCATTATCTCATGTAATTACTGAGACTTTACTTTAAAAGGAAGTTCCCATGAAAAACATCCATTCAATATTCTACGCATTACTGACATGAATCTAAATATACAATAACAAAAGACAGACAGAAAGTACTCTTTTCAACAGAACGAATCCTGGGCTGATTAACAAATAGTTTTATAACTTTAGGAATTTCAGTGCTTGGGAAAAAAAAAGAGACCTATACCTATCCTATCTCTAGGACACTTATATGAAGTTTCACTTTCTGCAATGGTCCGGTGTAAAATCCTATGCCTGTTGAAGACAATAATGAAACTCTAATCAACTTTAATAAAGAATAAAATTTCATCTCTGGTATCACGGTAGCACTGAACTCTTCTGGATGAGCTTGTTATTATTTGATAAATCTACTCGCAATCCAGGCAGTTCATCTGGGAAGAATTCTTAGCTTCTCTCTCATTATACATTATAAGAACAAATACCATGCAGAAGATCAACTTCTGGAAATATTTGTAAATCAAAATATATACTTTAAGATAGTTCCATTACTTTCTGCAAAATGTATTATTTTACTGGCCCTTCAGCTCCTGAAATAGGATTCAAAATGTTTTGAATATATAAAAATAACAGTCCTCTTAAGAGTTTTTCAGTTATGCAAAAAAACTTTTAATTAAAGTATAAAAGCCAACTTAATTCTTTGGTGCTAGGAATCAGGATTATCCACCTACTTACTCTGCTGTGCTTTATATAAGAGATGCTGGGCAAAATTCTTAATTCTGGCACTGTGAGAGGTAACTTGTCACATGAGTTAACCAGTTTCAACAGCATTAGCAAATCACTTGCAAAATGAAACCAAAGAACAAAAAAAAGAAAAAAAATTCTTTTTCAGGAGCTTCAAATGAAACATAAGCAGACAGTGGTTAACAATTTTAGATCTGCTGTCTTTTATGTACAAGTAGAGTTTTGGCAGTTTAGACATCAAGCAGCTCTTCAGTTAAATTCGAGCCATTTCTGGCGCATGGAAAAATTAGTTACAATTTCCTAACTGGTAGGAGTTATATTTTCTAAAATTATCCAGACTTTTACTCTATTTCCCTATTTTACTCACTACTAACCTATACTTATGTCATCTTTCACCTTTTTCTTTTAAATTACTAGGTGCTAAGAGACAGAAAGGACACCATTTGAATTTTATATAGGTTAGCATGAACACAGTAAAAGTTTGCAAAGTCTTTAGTTAACAACAGACATTTTCTCAATTTGTGCAAAGCTATGAAAATAAAAAAAAACCCTAAACCACTGAAATCAGAACATGGAATCAGGTGATTCAGAAATGACACTGAATGATATTCTGGTCTCACTTTGCAGTTAATTTAGAACACTACTTCATTGACTTCCATAGTTTGTGACATAACTTCATTAACAGAAACTTCCTCTCTCACTGCAGAACAGATTAACAACTTCCTGACTAAAATTCATGTGCAGCAAACAATCCGTATTCATTAATAAGATAAAGAAGAAAGGGGAAGTATAATAAAATGCCTGCTTGGTTTGAAATGCACATATGAAATTGGTAGGCTTTTACTGTTGCCATGCTGCCACTATTTGGATTTTACGCCAAGTCTTAGAATTGAGTATTTTTCTGAAAAATCCAACTCATGCTGTTATGCAATTTATAATATTCCTATTTTTCTTAAAAACTAAGGCTTCTACCCTTCTGGCTTGCTAAAAAAAAAAAAACAAACTGTAGAGGTTCTAGAAAGAAACGGAACTAAGCTCTAAGGATTCACTTCTATTTTATTTTTATTTTAAAGATTTTTAAAGATTGTGATTTATCATTAGGAGTTCATTGACATCTGTGAGAAGTGAGTTAATGTACCAAACTATGTAACAAAATAGTGACCTTATGCATAACAATGTGTAAAGTATGTTAAAGCATTTTACTACGGTATGCAAATAAAATGTTGCCATTGATGCTACTAGGGGAAAAAATCTGCGTTTAAAATCAGGAGAAAGCAAAAGTTGATTCAAACAGCTTGCAACACCACAGGCAATACATACTAAAGCTGTTCACTACAAGAAAATTAAAGAAAATTAAATGCTTTAAAAAACTATTGAAGATACAAAACCTGCAAGTAACAAAGAAATACCTGAGAAGCATTTGGATGCTTATCAGAGTTTTGCTGTGTAAATCAAGTTCATACTAGTTGCTTTCTAGCGTTTGAAGAAAATAAAAACACTTTCAAGTGTACTGTTATGCATACATCATAAAGCTTCAAAAATAATGCAGAGGCTATATTTCAATAAAAGCATAGTTATCTGAAATCAAATATGGTAAAACTGTAAAGAAATTTAAGGAATGCAAATTTCATGTGTATGCTTTTAAAACATCTCTCCTCGGTCCAATAAGCATGGTTGAGATACATCTAATCTAGAAGCCTATGCAGAACTTCCTAGTTTTTTAAGTCACAATCACCTCAGCATCACAACCATACTATACACAAAGTATCTGTGCTTGTTCAAGAGAAAGACTGTGAATTTTTTCTGAACTACTCCATTAGGAAGTTGTTTAGTAGTTTATCATCTAAGTTCTCTTATTATCATTTTAGGATATTGTGTCCTAACAAACTTGTAGCCCAGCGTTACAGATGTCAGTATTTGTTGGACTATGATACCTTGCTCTCTATCTTCAAAAAGAATACCACTATAAAAATGTATAATTTCTCTGTTGTCCATAAACCCAAGCCCTTTTAAAAAACATCTATGAATACTTGATGCTTTGGACTCACAGTGGCTTGGTTTAAACATAATATTTGACTTAACAGTATATCAAGGAAACATGAGACTACAGGAACGAGAACAGTAGAAAAATACAGATTATTTTCTACATAAAATAAATACATAGGGTAAACAACATCTATAGGAAGTAGTGATTAATGATTTCTGGTTAGAACAATAATATATGTATTATCTGAATATTACAATGTACAGTAGATAACAATACAGTTATTTTATTTATTTGAAAAAAAATCTTAGCTGAATGTTCAGCTCCCATAAATGTAAGTAAAAAGGTATAATTGTTGTGTGCAAGAACTGAAAGATCTATTTGAAATTAACTTGGAAAGCTGGAGGCTTACTTCCAGAAGTAGAATTTAAAATGTATGTTGTTACGAATGCCCTAAAGAAAAGCATACTTGTATCAATTTCCCTAGAGTATGCCATAATGCTAATTCAGCTTCTGAGCCACAAGCTTCTACTCATTAACAGAAACAGGATAAAAATGGAACTTAACTTTAGGAACTGTATCTCTGATACATTTCCCTTAAATGGTTTGACAAGAAACACTTATGGGAAAGAGATTTCATAATAAGATTGTACTTTAAAGTGGCAAGTGTTTAGTGCCAGACTTAAAACTGTGTAAGTATATTTGGCATAATATTTGGGTTGGATATTACTTTATTTCTTCCTATCAGTCTTTGTCTGAAGTCCATTCACTGTTTGTCAGGCCTGTGTCTGACCCAGAACTGACGGAACCATTTAAATATCCTGTTTTTTCCTACCCTGGAAAACATCTAGGAGCAGGATGACAGAGGCAAGCCAGGCCTTCCCTTGCAAGTCTGAGCCATACAGCAGGTCCAGCTGAAAAGCAGGGTGTTAGCTATTATCTTCCAGCCAAGACTAGTCATTAACTGTGCATTTCTTCAGTTCAAAGGTTCTTTAAGTCTCTTGATATGTGGTTGTCGTTTCCAAACCACTGTCTCAGCTGGAAGATAGGACTGTTAGCACCTGTGATCTGTAGTTACTCTGTTTTTTTCTTCTCACTGGAACAAAGAGTACTCCCACAGCTCACATGATCACAACCAAGACTAAGCAACTAACAGCATTACCTTCCATCTGAAATTTATGTCTGATAAATCTCAGACCCTTGAATTCAAGCCCAGAACAAGCTCTGAACATGAACATGCAAGACCACCTTGGGATATTCAAGTTATGCAAATAGAAAAGGTGCATGACCTTCAAATTAAGAAAAGGAATGAAGAAAAATGATCTGTACCATACATTAAGTCTACAGTCTTTGACAAAAAGGACTAGAAGTGTTCATCCAATTAGGTATGTATGATAGAGGTGGTAGAATTGGTATAACTACACAGAAAAAGTATACTGACTGCAATTTACCACTGATACAAAGGACAAAAGAAACATTAGAAATATTAATAAAGCTGGAGAAAGAACGATGTTACTCTAATCATGCAAATTAGAATAGCCAGTCCTCTACTTATGTCTTAATAAATCCTGCTAGAATTCTTCAATACACTAGGGTAACTATGATAAAAATACATACAGACATATATCAAATATTGAAATTAGATACTAAGCATGTTCTGGAAATGTGGAAGAAATGTTACTTCAAAAATACAAGTTTACTTTTTAAATTGTGCACTGAAAGTTTTAAGTCAAGCCATTTTTATATTTAGCATTTTTTCCCCCAAAAACCCTAGCTTCTGAGGGCTACAGAACAGAAGCATATCTCAGTTTCCATTAAAATTAATCAAGCAAAATATACAGACATTTTTATTTCAAGAATGTGGAATAAAGCTTGACATTGTGCGACCAAAGACTACCCTAAAATTAAAAAGTAAGATTACAAAGAGAGAAGAATGGACCAAAGCTTATGATTACTTCATGCTAGAATGGCTGTAATGAAGTAAACAGGCTAGATTGTGGAATAATTTAATATATTCGTTAAATCCTTCTCTAATATGACTATTATAATCAGCACATTCCAATGAGACAAAAATGTTCTGGAATCATCACACTTGGCTTTGAAAATCCCTGTTTCTACTAGAAAATTCTGCAGTTTTTTGGTTTAGATAAGTATGAAAAAGTAAGTTAAAGTAATAGTGGCTCATGACTTTCCATTTTTCAATGAAAATTTCCTATATTTTGTTGGATAAACATCTTCATTCTGAAAATTTCTATATCCTATTCAGTATTGCTAGTATGTTTGATGGTCTGCAGAGCAGAGACAACATACATTTTTCACAGTTCAATTGTCAAAGTCTGGCTAGCTCCTTGATCTCTGCATTTTATTTATTTAGCATGCTGGGATTTTGGAATGAGAAAATATTTTACTGAGATTTGTGTACTCTGAACTAAGGGATGAACAAAGATCCTCAGAACTACTTTGTATGAATAGTACACCAGTAGGACCATGTGAAAAATGCTTCGATTTCTAGGGTACCTAACTGGACATCACAAGATTTCAAGAGTGTATGCAAAGAGATCAGCCTGTCTTTTGTCTTAGAAGACAAGAAGGTAAGTAATGCAAGTTCCTGAGCAAAGAGATGAAGCTTCATGTAGGAAGGTGTATTGGGACAGCTGCTTTTAAGGATTTAATAGCAAAGCCATTGTTATTATTAAGATATAACTACACAGTGGCCTTTTCTGCAGTCAGTATTGCAGACAGCTGATAGAGGCTTCTACTTCTCTCCTTCTCCTATTCTCTTCTGTCTTATTGCTAGCCTCAACTGAAGATAATGCATAATCAACTTTTCTACTACAGACAGTATTTTTCATGGAATAGTTACTTATTCATCAGCATAATTACCCAGTGCCTTGTAGATCCCATTCTTCATCTGTATCTTTATAGATTCTCATAGCAGAGCTTAAGATTGGTATGAACTGAATATGAATGGGAGCGTGCTTGTGCGTGTACGTGTGTGCGTGCCCAAAACATGGGTTAAAGGAAAGGTATTCACTAACTACTACACAATGCCATATGTGAGATTTCATTCAAATATATAATCAGGGAACAAACTGACATAAAGATAATGTTAAGAAAATGCCACCAAATGTACCTAGGTGAGGAAAATAAGGGAACTACGTAAGACATATGATGGCAAACAAAATAACAGAGCAAATAATAAAGAAAAGTAGTATCCACTCCTAAGAGTTACATAGTGCAAGTTCAAAATCACTTTGTCATTGTGAGTCAAGAAGACAAGAGAGGTGATGATGATTAGATAACTGGCATAATTTCTCCAGAATTTCATAGAAACAATTCTAGTTAGACATTGTGGCATATGTCTTGGTGCATACATGTGATTTTGAGCGTGAGTGAATGAAATCTGTAAGTGAATGAGCTTGAGTGGAAAAAATAAGCTTGCTTGGAGATTTTGTAAATATCTATCACCTTTTCTTGCCATATAATCCTGTGATGATGTTTGTAACACGAATTTCCTACGTGATCACTTCATGCTTCCGTACTATGCCCAGCACAAGACAGTTAAGACCACGTACCTTACGATGAATATGTATTTAGTGCTGTAACTACTTCTGGAAGTGATAGTAAAATCATTTCAGATTAAAGTGATATCTGTGTTTGAAGCTGAAGTTTGAAGTTGTATTTTCCACAACCCAATTGTGTCCAAGGCCACAAAATATGCTTAGCACACTATACCAAACTGTTTGTTCAATTGGATTTTTTTTGGGTAATAGCTCTAAAGATGTCTTGCTTGGTACGTTCTACCTATGAGTTTCATAGGTAGAAATTGCACATCTTAGATATTTCACTTTAGGGTAATATGGGAGGCTAGTGACATCAATCAAACAAAAATTAATTTCATTAAAATGTACTGATTTCCATTTTTTTCCTAAAATTTTCTGTTCAAGATAGTTTTTCATATGCATATTCACACATTCTTTCACCACCACCATAGCCCTTTGTGGTCACTGTGCCACTGCTTTCAAATATTTCTGAGCTTTCACCGGATCCTCAGGAACAACAGATGCTGAGGGAAAATACTTACATCAACTTAGAGGCAAACCATTATGGTCACATTAATTCTTTGTAGGGAGAGGAAATAAACATCAAACTGAACTTAATCATAAGCTCTCTTATAAGCAGCTTATACGTAAAATGACATAGTAATGAAAACAAACAGCAATATTTGAAATTCAAGGTCTTACTGCTTTTCTTCAGCTTGTGCGATAAGAACTCAAGATAGTTAAGAAGAGTCTGTTCATATCATATCTCACTTTATTATTATTACTTTTTGCAAATTTATGACAATTTCTAGGTAAATATTCTTTCATGTTGACTGATACCTAACTTCAGTGACGTCAACTGGATATCTAGCAAACTTTTATTTTTCACAGCAGAGAAGCTGAACAAAAGTTGCGTTAGAATTTCAACTTCTCCATGTAAGGAAAAGTAAGGCTTTACAAAGTAGAAATATTAATAAGTACTCATGTTCATTTCACATTTTACCTCTGTTTCTGCTGCATGGGCTGTTGTCTCATAGCCATATATTGCATGTCCTCTTGTAGTCGATTAAGAGGAGAGTCTGGCTTGACACGAATCCCATAGTAATGATATTTGGAGTTTCCCCTTTATGAAAGACCAAGAATTAAGAGAGCAGTAACACTAGTTTCATGCATCTACATTACATTTACTTTACAACTTACATTGACAGGAAAATAATACCCACAAATCAGGCCTGACTCTCCTGCCATACCTGTTTTACATGGGTGTCATTTTTATCACCTTTGGGAAATTACTTCACTTTCTTAAACAAATATTATCCAGCATTTTAACTTGTAATCCACTTGAGTAAGAAAAATAAAATGCAAATAAATACAACTTATCTAGTCATGGAGAAACACAATTCTTAGTAATTTCCAAACAAGCTACATTTTATTTGTAGTGATAAAAATCTACAGTGTATTTATCAAAATGTAAATACATAAACAGTCAAAAACAGGAGAAATAAAAGTATAATAACATCTGGAAAAGCATAAAGCTGTTTAAGAGACAGAACTGACAGAAAACCACTGTAATATTTAAATACAAGTTTTATTTATTTTTTGACTAGCAGACAAGTTTCTTACTCATAATTATTACTTGTGTTTTCTATATAGTTAAGGATTTCATTAACACAAACCTAGTTCCAAGTCTTCTGGTTCGTAATCCCATGAAGATTGACCGTATGAGTTTTCCAAAGGAGGCAGCATTGACTGGATCCAACTTGTGTTCCTGACAATGTCGTAAGTAATGGTTGTAAAGCGTACTTCTTGGAAGGCTCACTCCTTCTGCAGTTTCATAGTTGTCTAAAAGCCATTGAAGCTATATCACATACAAAACAGAGAAAAAAAAAATCATTATTACTTTATTAAAAATATCTTTGCCATACAACTTATGACAGTTTTGAAACCACTCTTCAGGTCTATTAAACAATTACTTCCTTCTTCAGAGACTCCTTAAATGCTAGCTATACCACAGTGCTTTAGGATCTTCAGAATTACCAGGAAATAGCAGAACTCATTGCACTTGTGACTCAGATAAGTGTCCACTTCTTAAAATATTTTTGATTCAGTACCACACACCAGTACTTGATAAAAGCATCTATGCTTTGGAGACAAACTGTTAGTACTGCAAAGAAATAAAGTAATCATGACCATAATTCACATAAATTGCAGAAAACAAATTCCTTGGAGTAACGACAGTTAGTTAATGTATTTGTAAACCTGGAATATTATACTGGGTTTTTTTGCCTGACGTTAAAAAACACTTAAAATGACACTTAACTGAATAGGATATTTTTTATTCTCAGACACATAAAAGAAAAAAGCTGTTGCATGTAAGTCAAAGAGCAACCCAGATAACATTGAAAATAACTGGTACATCTATAATGCATTAGGGGTACAACCCCTTTCAGTTGTAGCCTGTTTGCCTTTGACTTCCAGGAGAACAGAATGAGATTCTTGGAAAAATATTAATCTTTTCATGTAATTGTGGTAGGTAATTTTAGACACATGCAAGAAAAGACTTTTTACGTAACATCATTGGAGTCACCAAGTTGTGCACACTAGTGAAACACCCCTGGCTGTCACTAATATACAAAAAAGTAAAAAGGACAATTTAATACTCCGAGATTAAACATTACAGAAGAATGACAAAATAGATCAAAAATAATATAGGTTGAGGATGCATTTAAATTCCACTGTTTCAGTCTTTTGATATGCTAACATTTTCCCCAGTACTTGCCATTGTTTCTGTTCCCGGAAATTTTCCTTTAGATATAGCTTGAATGATTCACAAATTTCATTTTCTTTTTGAATTTTATTTCTCTGTTTTCCTAAGTATTTATACCAAAATAGTACAGTGCGAATATTCAAGCTTGCTAGGATCAGAGATCTTACTAAAACTCTGGATTTAACTTGATTATCCAGTGAAAATGCAAACTAAGGATGTTGTGTCTTCAAGACTTGCTACAAACTTTTGTTCTGACAACCTAGCTATTCACACAAATGTGTAATAATTTTCAATTTAGTCCAGCAAAGCAGTAACTAGTATAACCAAAACACAAATTATTAACTAACAATAAAAGATATACATGGTCTATGTGTTATTCATTCCTTTGCAGAATTATTTTCTGTTACAGCAGTGCACAAATTCTGTTCCATCAATGTTCAGTGTAATTTACCATGCAAAGAACGTGAATATTTTAGTGTGCAATAGCCATGAAATATTTAAGTCCTGACCTTTTCTTTATCACAGAACTGTTATGTACTAAAGCACAGATGATAACAAACATATTGAATTTACAGCTATGTTTTAGTCACAGTGAGAAATTCACCAATACAAATGCAAAAACATTACTACAAAATTTACTTTAGACCATTCAAACACCATTTTCATATTTGCTTTTTATTGAAAAATGTCCATAACTTTTCCATGTTTCTTAAACATAAGATCTAGAAAAATACACAAAAGTAAGATGTAAATGCTTCCAAGACAGAAAATTTTTAGCTCAGTTTGCAGGTAATTTTGCAATTCAAATAGACAAAATGAAAAAGTACAGTTCATCATCTTTATATCAGTTACCGTACCATTATTTTAAAAGTCTTAACATTCACAAGTGCTTCCAAATTGAGCATCTGTCATTTTGAAATAAAGCTGAAGAAAAAGTACAATCATAAACATTAACTTTTATCTTAATGTATTAAACTTATTTCACTGAGTGAAATGAGAAAATCACCTGACATCAGCCTGTCTGGGCTTAGAAACAAAGGTAAACACATCTTTCAACTGTTGCATTTTATCTATATTTAAAATCTATTTATACATCTATATTTATATTATATACATTTACATAACATTTGACATATATTATTGAATCTATAATTTAATCAGAACAGATACGGAATGTGAAGTATTTCTGTTTTCCCCAAAGGGAAAGACTTCATCAATCCCAAAAGACTGACAAACAAAAAATAATTATTTTCCAATAAAGTTCTGTATGCAGCATTGAAGATATTTACCTCCGGATTGATTCTAGCCTATTATGAATCACTTTAAATGCACTTTATTAATGATATGAGTTTTTAACAGATGATATTTCAACCATAACTTGCATTATTCAACACCAAAAAAACCAAATCAAAAGATAAGTACAATATAAGAATTTTTGCTCCTGGGTGGAGTTACTTAGTAGCAAAGGCTTGAAGTCATTACTTGCTAGATTATAGCCTGGAAGAAAAAGTGCAGTTAATATATGACTTTAAAAGGAAAATTATCTCCAAACATTATAAAAATACTGTAAACAACTTTAAAATTAACATTTTTCTACCAAGATGAAATATAATTCTAAAACGGAGCTGTTCAGGTTTGAATCCTGGCTTTTTAATTCGTAGTACTGACCATACTGTATGGATAAGATGGGTAAAGGTATGAAATATTTAGAGACCTGTTAAATTGACTGTGACTCCAATTAAGCTTCAATATTTATAAAACATTCAACTATCACTTAATTAAATAAGTCAATTTCATGCAGAAATAAATCAGGAAAGAAAAGAATACAGAGGAGAAATGACAAACTCCTTAAAATGAGCACACATGAATTTAGGCAAAAAAAAAAAAAAAATCCTAGAAAACCTTGTGGAGGTATCATAGGGCAAAAATCCCAATCCTCATACCAGTATTTTCCCACAAATTAATATATCATCTGCAAAGTGAAATTTAATTAAACACACAATTTAGAATTCTATTTTAAAACCTATTAAACCCAATTATTTTAATAAATGCCAAACCAAACAATTTGAAGTCAAAATCAAGAACAGTTCAAAGAGACAAAGGCTAAACCTATACTTAAACTTCCTCCATACTCTCTTTACTTGAGTTTAAATACAATAAGCATTGTTTTAAAAATAGGCAAAACATCCAGTAAGTTTGATCTGGATTGTTAACTTTTTCCAAAATGACCAAGGCTAGGAAAGACTGATTGCCACAGAAATATGTACAGGGATCTTGTTTTTTTTTCCCCACAGAGTCAAATATATATCCCTATCAGAACAATTTTGAAAAAGCCTTCACAGCCAAGAAAGAAATATCATTATAAGACTTAACAGTTGGATGCGAACCTCATTATTAGGAACACATTGTGAACAGTGCATAGCACCAGGCATGAGTGGAATATAGTTTACTGGGGCACAGCAGCTTATCTTGTAATTCTTCTTAGTTTTATACCAAGATTCTGGACTTCATAATAGGATTAAACACAAACTCATCAACAGTTCAAGTGTTCCAAGTCTTAACATAAATTTTTGACACTTTGCCAAAAAAAGTTATGGTCCCTTTAAAAATGACATTTAAATACTAATTTTGATATTGTCTGTCTAATAATACCTATTATTATTTAAATAATAATTTTGATACTGTCTTGTCATCAAAACAATTATTTTATAAACATCCAAGGCAGAATCTAAAAGTTTGTCTGTATAACATTTTGTATTACTTTTTGTAATATGATTTTCCTTTTTCAATTTTGGCATTTTCTAAATTAAAAAAAAAAATGCTTAAAATTTCCACAAAACAATTCTAGTTTTGACTTTGACATAACCAGACCCATACAGAAAAAGTCCAAAGCCCAAACCCAAACCTGCTAAAATATACATTTTAAATTTTATTTTTGAGGGACAGCCTCTACCACCATATTCTTACATTAAGATCACAAATCAAACTTAAATTCCTTCTGTAAAACAATAAAGGAATTTGAATTTATATAAGTAGTAAAGCTGAGAAGGAAAAAAAGAGGTAAGATGAATGCAAAATAATCAACATGGCAAAAGGACAAAATACAAAACCACAAATGCCAACAAAAAAAAAACATTTCAAGAAAGACTAGCAACTTACAAAGCAATATTATTATTTATATAATAGGTTTAAAGTTAACTTCGGGCCTTTTTCCTTTATTTTAAAGTTACATATAATGGATTTATGACTATATTTGGATATCATTTTTTTACCTAAATATCTTTTAGCTTTGTATAGGGACAGTTCTGAACTGTAAGATTTGCAGAGTAAGAACAAAGCAAAAGGCAGCCAAATAAGACATTTTTGTGTACTTCAAATTAAGAAAATGCTTTCTTTTTTTTTCCAGGTCATCATAAGGATTTTTAGGATTCTTAAGTAAGTCATTTAGTAATAAACTCTCTATTCAGAATAAATGAAAAAACACCTAAAAATAACCTAAATATATTATTTAGACATGCTGTTTTTTCTTCTCTTCCTTTTCACATGCCCTGAAATTAATATAGTGTACACAGACTTTGCTTTGTAGACAACTTTATTTAAAATACCAAAAGCCAGCTTATTTAGAATTATTTGAACTTTATCTTGACATTTACACTATAATCTGCAAAACAGTCAAATGTGTTAACTTCTCTTAACACAGGTGTAGAGCATAGGAAACAGGTAACACTCTGCAATATACCATAAAGACATTTCATCTGACAAAATAAAGCCATGAGAGATGTAGTAGAATATTACAAGCAAATAAGATGAGAAGATTAAGAGCAAAAAGTAGTAATAAAATAAAACAAACATTTAGAGGCAGGCTAAGCATGCAGAACAAGCAAGAGAGAGTGTATGTGAAGAAGAGACAACTTACATGGCTGTTGAGAAGAGAGCTTCTGTGAGTGGACAGACCATCAGACTTTTGCAGTGTCTCAATCGCCATTTCAATCTGATAATAGATGTCATTAAAAAAGGGACTCAAGACGAGATAGTAAAAAAGCCTGATCAGAGAAGTTTTGACAGATTGCTTACAGATCAATAGAAATGCCTGCTTTATTCCTGGCTAGGGCATATGTTCTACTAAAAGGCCTCATTCCAGAGTCCCAGTGAACACAAACCTCCCCAATGAGGTCAGAAAGGCATTTTGTTTGCATATATACTGCAGGATCACAGCCTGAAAGTCCATTTTACCTTCCAACCTGCTCAGGAAATTAAATGAGTAGATTTACTGGTGAGCTGCATTGAAACAAAAATAATCCTGATTGAACAAAAATATCATTAATAAAATAAAAAAAAATAAATAAATCCCTAAATTTTAAAATCCCAGAATTTTAAAAAGGGCCTCCATATGTTTTCCTTCCAACTATATCAGAAAGAGACATGCACAGCTTGCAATAAGAATTAGAAACAAAACTTCAGCTCTCTGGAATCACAGAATCAAATCCCAAACCCAAATAAGTCAATAGGTTTTCCACCATTAGCTTCACTGGGACAGGACATCACCCTTACTGCTGCCAGAACCCTTTGAATATCCCCAGCTGTCAAAGTAAATGGAGAGTCAGGAGTTACACAGACTGCAGGATCCAGCCTTTAGAAAAGCAGATTTGTTCACAACAATTTTGCCTTTTAAAAGGAAAACACAGTACTACTAAAATACAAAGTAGTATTTCTTCAAATGCAAATGTACGAATACTCTCACATCCGTTCCCATTCTTTTCTTTTTTAATATCAATGGATATTTTGATCAGTTCGATGACAGCATTAAAGAAAAAAAGTTAGAACCTAACTGTAATTTATCTGGGGAGCTAGAAGAGCAAAAACAACAATAAAAATGACAGAGACAATGGGATGTGCAGTAAGAAAAGGCATGCAATTAATTAGCTACATTAAATGGCCAAAATGAAAGCAATGGAAACCACCACTTATACTTTTAAGAACACTTATCATTCTCTGTGTACATATTTTTTACTGAGCCCTCCCTATCCTACTTCAAATATCACAGTACTATCTGTAATTTTAGTGGCATAATTTATCAATATTGGCTGAATTCACTCTCTGTATAACAGAAACTGAAAAATACTAGAGTTCATATTTGAATTTACTGTACATATAAAATTAGCTTCTCTTTTTTACAGGGCAACTGACAAGTATTTTATCATAAGTGTGAGGAATCACTTCTTGTGTCTCTCTTACAACTGTTTAATATTAGCTATACAAGCCTTTTTATAAAAAGTACATTATTAAAAATATACAATTACTATGTAAGAAAACATACTCTTATACATGGCAATAATGTTTTTTTTTAATATTCTGATTTCTTCTTGCTTCAGTGGAAAATACTATGAGATCAAAGTATTCAATCACACAGGAAAGATCAAATTTTAAAAGCGTGCCGCATGATAAAAATGAGAAGCTTAAAACATAATCATAGTAAGGTGAACCTACTATATACCGTAGCCATAGAAATTCCCTTCTTAACATAATGCTACAATCAAACAAAGAAGACCATATACACATTTAAATCCTAATTCTGAATCTTAGGTTACTTGTTCCACAATGCTTAGTCCACAGCAGTACTACAGCACTGAAGTTACACCTCCTGCTGCTCATTCCCACTACTGCACTACTCTCATTTTGTTGCTGCAACTTGTGGCTTTGTTTGTTCAGAGGACCAATCTGTTAAAAAGTAGTAGTAATTGCACTTAAAAAGAAAAGTGGCATTACAAATGACACTCATTCCTCGCTGCGATATTGCTTCAATGCTGTTTGGTGCTATGCAATGAGCCAAATAAAGAAACTGTTTCTTTTTTGTCATTTGGGGGATTTTTGTTGCTGGAGTTTCTTTTAGAAGTAGATTTCACTAGTATAGCCATTGAAGACAATGAATCTGTGTTCACTTTTATGGCATACCATAAGCCAAGTAGTGTCGGTCACCACTAAAACGTGTTAATTACTTCATCAAGCTCAGAAAGATATGCGATCTACATTTAAAATGAGTCTTCATCATATTCTACTAGGGCAAGATTCCCAAGAGAAATTATTCTCACTACTAATTATTTTGTTCATTATTTCTAGTCTAAATTTTGATAAAATGAACTTTCAGCTTTATCTGACAGATACATATCTCTTTAATGACAGAAACCTTCTTCCTATACAATCACTTCTTAACTGTTTTTGAGCATAAAATGTTTGATTTGAAGACAGATTTTCTAGACACTAAATCATTCATCTTGCCCTTTCTGAAAATTTCTAGCTACTTCTTGTATTGTTCTACTGGTGTTCCTCAAGGCTCAATTGTAGGGCCAGTCCTGTTCAATAAATTTATCAATGATTTGGATGCAGGAGTTGAATGCACCATTAGCAAATTTGCTGATGATACTAAACTGGAAGGTGCTGTTGACTCTCTTGAGGGATAAGAGGCCTTGCAGAGGGATCTGGATAGACTGGGATCATTGGGAAATCAGCAATGGCATCAAGTTTAACAAGAACAAATGCTGGATTCTGCACCTGGGACAGAGAAATGCCAGGCACAAGTCTAAATTGGGAGAGGAGTAGCTGGAGAGCAGGCCTGCAGAAAGGGATCTGGGGGCACTGGCTGGCAGCAGGCTCCACATGAGCCCGCAGTGTGCCCTGGCAGCCGAGAGGGCAAACGGCATCCTGGGGTGCATCAAACACAGCACAGCCAGCTGGGCAAGAGAGGTGATCATCCCGCTGTATTCAGTGTTGGCGCGGCCCCACCTGGAACACCGTGTGCAGTTCTGGGCCCCACCATTTCAGAAGGATGTGAAAGTCCTGGAATGCGTCCAGAGGAGGGCAACAAAGCTGGTGACAGGGCTGGGAGGCAAGTCCTGTGAGGAGCAGCTGAGGACTTTGGGCTTGTCTCATTTGGAGAAAAGGAGGCTGCGGGGCGACCTCATTGCTCTCTACAGCTTCCTGAGGAGGGGAAGTGGAGAGGGAGGTGCTGAGCTCTTCTCCCTGGGATGCAGTGATAGGATGCATGGGAATGGTTCAGAGCTGCGCCAGGGGAAGTTTAGACTGGACATTAGGAAGCGTTTCTTTACCAAACCCTGGAACAGGCTTCCTAGAAAGGTGGCCGATGTCCCAAGCCTGTCAGTGTTTAAGAGGCATTTGGACAACACCCTTGATAACATGCTTTAACTTCTGGTCAGCCCTGAAGTGGTCAGGCGGTTGGGCTAGATGGCTGTTGCAGGTCCCTTCCAACTGAAATAGTATATTTTATTATATTCTCTTATTCCAAGCTTTTGGGTTTGCAAGATGATCTGTGTGACACGGAGTACTGTGTGTATAGGGACTAAGAGCTACCTGAGTAAAAAGTTGTTTGTGTGAAGGATCCGTTCCTTCAAGCTTTTAAGTTCTAAGTTTTGGCCAGGTACTTTTATTTAGGTTCTAGAAAAACTGAACGTAATTTCATCTCTATTCAAAACAGCATTTAAGCACATACACAGATCAATTACATAGGTAATGCAGTGGTTTTTATTATGATATTTTGTGAAAATAATATGAAAATAATTTTAACATTTTAAATTATATTCTGCATAAATACAAAATACTGATACCCTTGCATTTTTAGCAATAAGCGGTGAGACATTCCATGCACAACTAACTACATATACATCTGAAATGCTAAATGACAACAAGAATTACACATTCATTTATTTGAATATGTGATCAGTCATACATTCTTCCTATTCTGCTCTTAACAAGACTAAGAACATTATTTGTTAAAATGTTCTGACTGACAACTGAAATTTACACTGTCACTCCCACTGCAACTCCAGCTACATCATGTTAAATGTTACGCTACTGGTAGGAATGATAATCAGTTTGTATAGTAACATAAACATGGGTGGACACTAAATTAGAGCACGATAGCTATGAAAACTATGATTCTAGACTTCTTCAGTTTACTTTGTTTGCCAGCTAAAATACTGCCTTACACTCTGACACAGTTGTTAATGATTAAGGGTATTTTCCCGGGATTAAAAAATTCAACAGTTTGATCCCAGTATGTGCATCCAGAATCCTACAATGTTCAGTCTTCATGTGATCTATTGATTTGGAAGTTATTAACTATTCTTGCTAGTTTATGTCTTAGTGTTCATTAACATGTTACTAGATAAACAAATTACACATAATAGTCTCAGATGTGTATAGAACAGACATAGTAAATACCTATCCCAAACCCACTTTGAAAAACTTTGCCTTCTCCTTAGGAAGAAGAAAGAAATAGTACTTTTTCATTATTCAACTAATTAACTAACTATTCAACTAATTAACACGAAGTATTTATAGTACGTTGTTCTGAGGAGGTCCGGACATAAAGAAAACAATCCACCGAAGTTTAAGCCCTGCGGTTTTGCAATTAATCTAGATATCCTACAATTTATTTTCTTTATCTGTTTGCATCTGCAAACCCCCCTCCACCAGCAGCAAAGCAGGCAACTGTAAGTGGTATCTTAAAATTCAATACATTGTTGCATCTTGTTCAAAAAAGATAGCTCCTGTCTCTATCTTCACAGGCACCTCCAATTCACAATGCCTTTTTTCCACTTCCAAAGGTTTGCCCTTTTAGGCTTTAAAGAAAGTGAAACTCAAAAGGAGCTTTCATCACATGCTCCATGATGAAGAAATTACTAATTCATCACATACGTACAAGAAAGATTAATTTGGTACAGCTGACTAAGTCTTGGGTACTTGTGACAACTGTGCTTACCTAAATAAGGTGTATACACATCATGAACTACCCTGAAGCTACAGGATAAATGGACTCAGGACTTTTGAAAATGTGACGCTTTTACTCTTTGAGGATGCCACAAACTTGAATTATTTACAGCGGCTTTCAATTCTGTTTCAGGACAGGGTATTCATGTATGTCGTACTATTTCCTGAAACTTACGCCAGTGGATTGCGTTAGGCAGACAAGCTTGC